TGAAATGAATTTACAAGCTTCAATGAATTTGATGTGAAATGCCATAATTAGAGCCATCAGGTTTAGGGCCAACCTTATACTCTATTTTACAATCATTACAAGTTGCTCTTTCTACTCTATCTTGCTTTTTGCCTATTTTAGTGAAATAATTTGAAATATTTAAAGTTTCTTTTTTTACCCTCTTACTTAATTATTCAAATTCGGATACATGGGATTGGGAGGGATTTCATTCTCATTCAAAATGTTTGCATCATCATCCAAATTTATATAATTTTTAATTGATTGATCCATCACCATCACCTTCAAATAACATAAACATAATTAAAAAATATTAAAAATTTATACCAACAAACAACAATTCACAAATAATTGATCCAACAATTCACAAACAACAATTCACAACTAATTGATCCAAGAATTCACAAACACATTTACACACAATGAAACAAAGATTAAATAACAATAAAATGAAACAATGGATAAATAAAAGGAAAGAAAAGCAAATTGAGCTTACCTGGGCTGCTAGAGAAGATTAGATGCCGATGGCCAATGGAGATGGTTGGATGGGGATTGTCGGATTAGGGAGTGAGAAGTTGAGAACCGTGAGATGGTCAATGGGGAGTGGTGACCAGCTAAAGGTGCGATGCGGCGATGCTGAGGGCCGATAAGGATGGCCGGATGGGGATTGCCGGATTGAAGAGTAAGAACCGTAGGCAAGTAGCCAGTTGGATAGGGAGTTTGAAGGTGTAACGCAGCGATGGGAGTGCTGGAGTGGAGACTAGCTGAAGGTGGCAAGGTGCGATGCCGATGGGCGATGGGCCGATCGTCAATGGGGTTGGGGTTCTTGGGGATGACCGGATTGAGGCACTAACTAAACGGCAGATCAAAAACTAAACGGATGGGCGATGGTCGACAAGCGATGGGATGGCCAATGGGGATGGCGGATGGGGATTTGAAAAAGTAGATTTCGACTAGAGAGAGTAAAGGCTAAAGACTAAAGAGATGCGTTGCGCCGTACGCTGGTGCCAGCCAAAAATATTCAATAAACTTAAGTTTTTTTTTTCTTTTGATCCGTTGGGCTAGCCCACACCAACCCGGGTCAACCCCTAACCCAAGCGAGCTAGCCCAATTAGGCCCAATTTTAATATGAACTAAAATTTTATAACCCAACCTACTCCATTTTTAATTAAAAATGAGCCAACTCGATGGGCTCGGCCCATATTGACAAGTACATACATAAGTAAAATATGAAAGTGAATATATGTAAGAAAAGCCCGCTTAAAGATAATAAATAGTGCTCCATATATATATATATATAGAAATTATGTGAATGTATACATATAATAAAATCTCTAAAAGTATACTAAATTTGAAATTGCTTATTTCAGTTAACTAATTTCAAAATCTTTAATCGAATTGAATCAACTTAATTAAACTTTTTAACTGATTTAACCAAATCGAAGTCAGTTAATTTGATTTTGACTGAATTTTGCTCACTCTTAATTAGAAACAATGGAGATGTTAAAAGAAGGAGAGTGTTATGTTGCTCTACTCCACTGTGACTATGCTGGGTTACGAGACCTGATGTCTGATGTATTCGTAGGATGTGTAATCGTACTACCTCTATATCCATAGGGATCCAAAATTTATTCATTGAGCTTGTATATTGAACAAGGCAATGGTATGATTCAACTCAAAAACTCAAGAAAATAAATACTAGAAAAAAATATACGTAATAAATAATTTCATTTATCATTGGTAAAACTAAACGATATTTTTCAAATATTTCGTAGAATACTTTATTAATATAATTCATATTTCACCAAGTACACAATTAAAAATTGAAATCAAGCCTCATAAAAAGAGTTTCATAGCAGGAAATATTCAAATTAATAACAGATTTATTCATAATTGAAGCTTTTTCATCAGTGATTAATTAGCTGGATAAAGATGAGCAGGTAAGCGTGGTTGACCAAGTGCATGCAAAGGTTTGGCCATGAAGAGATCATCTTTTGCCTCAGAAAGATCGATTTTTGCCTCATTCGGTGGAACCCTCCAAGTGAACCCTTGAACCAGCCTTGCCAAGAGCATCACAGTCATTGCAGTACCGAGAGCCACGCCCATGCACCCGCGCCTCCCTGTGCCAAAAGAAATGAACCTCAGGTCTGTCTCTGTCAGATCAACGCACACGAAACCATCCTTCAAATGGCGTTCAGGGTTGAACTTCAATGGGTCATCCCAGACCTTAGGGTTCCGGCCTAGGCCGTAACGACTGAGCAGGACGTGACTACCTTTGGGGATGAAGTAGCCAGCAACAGTGGCGTCGGCGGTTGAGACATGGGTTAGGTTAAGGGGTGCAATGGGGTGAAGACGAAAGCCTTCCCTTGCATAAGCTTTGATATAGTTGAGTTTGGGAATGTCAGCGTCTTGAACCAGCCTCTCTTTTCCGACCACAGCATCTGTCTCCTCGACTGCTTTCAAGAGAGTTTCAGGTTGGTTGATCATTTCCGTCATTGCCCATTCCACAGCATTTGAAGGATTGTCTACGGTTGCAAGCATTAACTCCTGCATAAACAAAATATTCATAGACTTATACCAAACACAAATTTGATGATAAATATTGTTGCTATTACTATAACTAATCAAAATAATTTTTGTTATGACTAGACCAAAAACGCATGGCGGAAAAGGTATCTATGGTTTGATTATCAGACCGCGCATTGGGCTTTAAGCTCTTCGATTGAAAGAGCTGGCTTACCATTCGAATCCTTGGCTAAAATGAAGGCATCAAGAAGGTCTTCAGGCTCCTCTCTACTCTTGGACTCTCTCGTCAATCAAGGGATCCTGGTACTCATTCACAATTTTCATAGCCTTCTTGACAGTCTTCTCATGGCCCTCCAAATCAAATGATCTCAACCAGGGTATATAGTCTGAGAGGATGAAAGAGTAAAGATGCTTGACCACTGTGAAGAGTGATTCGACATGCTCTTCTTCTTCGTATCCAGGCCCTCCATCTTTTCTACCTTTCCCAAAGTATCTTCGGTTGAATATCATCTTCCTGATGACATTTCCGCTGTCTTGTCTCATTGCAAGTCTCAGATTAACGACTGCTGAAGCCGTAGAATTATCATCGCCATTGCTCTGATGAGCTTTATCTTGTGAACAGCTAGTCATCTTCCTTATAACAGGAATGGGTTCAAGTTCTTCACAAATGCTGGAGGCCTTGGGAAAACTGACATAAAAGACATCTCGGAGCGTGCTGCAGATCTATACAGTAATTTCCTTACAACATCAGTTCAAAAGGTTGACTACATGGCTGTTTATACATCTGATCTTGTGAAGGCAGTCCGTAAAGCTGCTGGAAATATAGGTTCTAGCTTCCTGCAATGTTTAAATAAGGGGGAACTTATTTATAGATCAATCATGCACAGTGCAATATATGCAAAACTCCATGTCATTCTTTAGTGCTTATCAAATTTTAAAAAGGTCACTTATTTTACTTATCACCGGTAAAGATCTTTCCTTCAGTTCTGTTGTTAAAAGTGTGTTGGTGTTGCTTACGAATTGTTGTTTGGTATTGTCAACGTTTAGAAAAGCCATTGGAGGGATTCCACATTATTGTTGATGCAGGAAATGGTGCAGGAGAATTTTTTGCAGTACGTTTGATTTATAAATTTAAGTTACGTCTCAGATTGAAATATTCCATTTTTGGTATAAGATTTTATTTCTTTATAGATAAGTAAAAGGCGAAGGTGCCCTCATGGTGTCAACTGCCTATCACTGTTTTCTGAAGCATTTGGTTCCAAAAAGACACTTGCAGCCTGAGTAAATGTCTGCATATATGATATTATTGCAACAGCAATTTTTTCCCAGTTTGATCATAAGGTATGTAGTCCAATTGCTTTTTCCAGGAAAAGGTGCTTGAACTTCTTGGTGCTATTACTTCTGGTAGTCAGTTCTTGGAGCCAGATGGTAGTGCTTTATCCTGAAAACTTTCGTTTGTGTTTTAATATTGGGTTCACATGTTGAAAATTTTAATGATACGTGATTATGAGATCAGGTATGTTTCCAAATCATATTCCCAACCCTGAGGATAAAGTTGCAATGAAAGCTATATTACCCAGGCAGTTCTTGACAACAAGGCCAACTTGGGGATCATCTTTGATACAGAGGTTGATAGGTAATAGGTTCACTATCTAAATTATATGTTCATTTTATATATTCAAATGTTTCTTCTTCTTCTTCTTCTTCTTTTCATGTTATAAGCATTTCCTTTCAGGTCTGCTGCAGTCGATTCCACTGGTCGCGGGTTCAATCCAAATGTCTAATTACTTTAATGTCAGCGATTGTGCTTGAGGAAGTAAGATATTTCCTTCCACATTTTCAGCAACCACTTTGTAAATAAACCAAACTTTCAGCCTTTCCTTTTTTAGTTTTCTGCTCCATTTAATCACTCCATCTTCCCTTCAGCATCCAGGTACAACCATTAATTGTTACAGACAGTGTGACTTTAGATGGGCTTACTTCATTCATTGAAAAGGAACTTGGTATGATAAAAACTGAGCTGACATGTATGTATTTACTTTGTGCTTCTAGAGCAAACCTTATAACTTGCAATTTCTTTTAGGGGGAAAGCACCATAGATTTACAAGAGGCTATAAGAATGTCATCGATGAGGCGATTAGCTTGGTAAGTTTCATTTTCTTTTATCTTAGTTTTGCTATTTAAACTAGTTATGGTTCCACCAGGTAGAGTGCTAGAAGGTGAACAAGAAAGAGCTGGGATCTGAATTAACTATATGGGATATTAACAACTTAATATGAATCCAAAAAACTTTTTTTTCTTTGCCCAATAATTGGTGCTAAGCATTATTTGTATGATCCCTTGACATTTAAAGAGTTACAATCAAAAGCTTGATATGGTTTATACAGGGATGAACAAAGTGTGGCACCTTCACTCTTCATGTAGCATAGTTTGCCCTTTTTCAGCATTAGTCATTGGCAAAATTCTTGATCTACTTTTCATCTTTTCGAAGTCCCTTCTCTAGTATGCTATCTTTTCTACTCAATAATAGAATGCCTGGACATTATGTGACATATCTTGCCATGTCATTGTTCAGTATTGAAGGTCCTTGTCACCTATTTATAACAGCATGGCCAATCATCTTTTTTAACTTTCAGTTCTTCGTTACCCATTGAAATATTTTAAACTAAAGCAAAAATATCTGCTGACAGAACTCTGTTGGACAAGAATCACATCTGGCTATAGTGACCAGTGGCCATGGAGCTCTCAAGGAGGATCACTGGCTTGATGATGGGTTATTCTTGATGGTAAGCTTTTAATTTAAGTTGTGGATAAGCCTCTTCTTTTGGTTGGCTTGTATGCATCAACCAAAGCATTTACTTAAACGCGCATAGACTTGTTTCTCTAATTTGATTTTTTTTGACCTTCTGCTGAGTGCAGGTCAAAATCCTAAATAAACTTGCTTCGGCCAGGGCTTCTGGTAGAGATGATGGAAGCAAAGTTTTAACAGATCTGGTTGAGGGTCTGGAGGAACCAGCTATTGCTGTGGAACTGAGACTAAAGATTAATCAGAGTCATCCTGATCTTAAAGGAGGGTATGGTGCTTTACATAGCTCTGATCATTTTACGTCTCCATGATTTGTTTAAAGTTGCTGAGAGTTAGAAGCTTGCAGATCTTTCCGAGATTATGGGGAAGCAGTGCTGAAGCACTTGGAGAACTCTATTGCTTCATATCCCAAGCTTCAGAAAGCACCTGTTAACTATGAAGGGGTCGGTTCGATATACTGTTAGAAATGCATATATGCAGGCTTCTGTTTTAAGTAATTATGAGATAGTAAACTTAGTAGCAAATGTGGCCCCAACAGTTGTATATTTCACACCATCCTAATTCCTACAGAACAGGTTTCCCTAACTCCCTTCTGGACACAGTTCCGAGTTTCTGGCTTTGGAGGGTGGTTCCCTCTTAGGCTTTCTCTTCCTGATCCCGTCCTTCCTGTTAACATTGAGGTATTAAAGCAGTATCAACTGTAGCTTAAATTTGTCATAACCACCGTAATTTCTTAACTGAACAAAAAATAAACACATCGTAGGCACCAAGCCGTGAAGATGCTGTGAAACTTGGACGTGAAGTACCTGCTGCTTTGAAGGAGTTTCCAGCTTTGGACACATCGGCTTTAGACAAATTTGTCCAACCCCATTGTGCTGAGTGGCGATCTCTTTCAGCTTTTGATTTGTGATCCAGTGGCTGCCTTCTCTTTTGTGATGAGCCGACCTGCCTAATGTAATAATGCTAGTTTTGAGGTTTGAGGAGTCTTTGACACACTTCTTTTAAAAGGTGCCCAGAAAACCAGCCCGGGACTTCTGCAAATATGCACAATTTTCCAGGTTCCAAACAATAGAGATGAGTCTGAAGATATATCCAATCTTAGCAGCAACATCGAGTATCTTCCCTTTACACTCAATAACACTTAGTGAAGTAAAAAGGTGTGGAACAAGCTAGGAAAATAATCTCTTATAACTTGCAAGAGCTTTGCAAGAGAATCGCCCACACAGACAACCGATTGTAACATTAACATTACAGATACAATAAATACAGTAAGCGCAAATATCTGAAGTTAATCTCATCAGTTTAAATTATATACAATTAAGGCATCCTACATATTTGCAACTTTGATGAGTTTTCTAATTACCTTTTTGATGTTTATTAAAGAATTTATGCCATGGTAGGGGTGTTTAGAAGCTTCATCATGAAGTTGAACTTCACATCTGGTGAGGTCTTGGGCTGTGGCCAGTTTGCCCCCTCTGGCACCTTAATGCATCTGAAACCCTGGCCTTTGTACAGTTTTGTTGCCCCAGGGTTGTTCAAATCACAGTGCAAAGCAATGGCACGACACCCCCAGCTCCTCGCTTGAGCTTCTGCCTTGGATATGAGCCTTTTAGCTATTCCCTTCCTACGAAATCTCTCCCGAACTGCAACATTAGATATGTATGCAATTCCAGTCCTGTGATAAAGATGCCCAAGTGTCATTTGTATAATAGGAGTATTTAATCACACGATGAACACTATGCAACTTAAAAGTATCCAAAAAAAAGTACGAGAAAGGAATGATAAACCAATTGCCACATCAAGAGAACTGCTGCAGTCAAAATATTTCCCGTTACTAGAAGGTTAACTTCAAATTAAGAACAAAGTTCTATGAACACTGATACATAATGCTTAGGACATCCAGCAGATCTAATCTACCACAAGTGATTCCAACAGCAAATATCATCTTACAGCATTCTTCTCTATTTATAATCATTATTTCTCTCATCATAAAGTTCCACCCCTTTCCAGCTTTCCCTCACAACCTTACGTTTCCTCTTTCTGCCTTCCCACAATCATTTGCCTGGTATATTTCTGTCCTAGCGAGAAACACTACTTATCATTTACTAAATAAAATTAAATGAGAAAGAGGTTTAACTGAGCTTCTCTATTTACATGCATCAATATGTAATGGTAGCATATATGTGCTCTGCCTGCCACTAATTGATTTCAGCATTGTTGTTTGAATTATTGCATCGTATGGCCTTATTCCAGAAATATTTCTAATATTTTTAAGACAGTTAATTTTCTAGGATATGCAAGAGACAGTGACTATATTTTCCAAATGAGAGATAATCTAGAATAGAAAGACAGCATAACTTATGTAGAAACTTCACTACATATTCAGCATCCTGTAGGATCTTGGTTCACTTAAAACTCTCATTGTTTATGAAATCTTGAATGAGTTGAGATATACAAGGTAAGATGCAAGACTTGAAGTACTTTGCTAATAGATCGGTGCTTATGAATTGAAAAAAGAAAGATCAGAACAACAAGAAGGGATAGAGAAAGAGAAAACCTTTTTCATCTTTTTCCTTTCCTGTTGTTTTGTTATGGAGGGGCAGGAACAGGGTTTAGTTTATCAAACAAAGGGGGATGAAAACAGTCTCTTACTTTTCGCGAAAGCCAATTATACAGTCTCAGAATAGTGATTACCAAATCAACTAGCACACAGGGATCACAAGTACTCAACTCTAATCAGCTAAAAGTCTAAACCACTCTAAGCCTAAACAAACTGTTCTCCAATTTCATAAAAGAATGGCTTTGTGCCAATGGGGCCTTGTCTCAATGACAAGGAGGCGGCCCTGAAACATTTTGGGTCCCGGGTTCAAGTCCCACCTTAGTCCGAGTTTACGTTGGTTTGTTTATTAATCTCTTCCATGGATGTAATATGTGATATGTATGAAAGTTAGTTGATCATAATTGGAATTTTTAAAGGAATAAAAAAAGATGAAGAAAGAATGGCTTTGTAAGGGCGGTGACACAAAATATCCACATGATATACAAAAGACATTACCCATTTTCACTTGGAGATGAACCAGCAAAAGATGGATGCATGTGATTATTACGTTTAACTCTTCTATTTGGTTTATCACATTAAGCCTAGACCATGAGAAATTATTTAGTATTCTCATCTTCTATTTTAAATTACAATGTACTAAAGCTCTATAATATCTCAAGCCCCATAAACATGCATTGATGAGGTATAAACATCTCAATTTTGAAGAGCAGAAAGCTGCCTTGAAGCAAACAGCTGCAAACTCGCAAACTCAAGTTAAAAAGCTTGAGGAGGTTGACCAATCAAGCTCTGACCTTACTTAACCACCATATTTTCAAATTTGGAAAGACAAAACCAGCTAAGGTAACATAACATGCAGTAAGACATCACATAAATTGGAATTACCATGAGGCAAGGAAGGCTTCCTTGCACATGCAAAAACCATTAGAAAATTATGAGTTTAAGTAAACTTATTAACAAACGAATCCTGACAACCACAACTACATAGTGGATTATCAACAGATTCCTAAGACGTAGAGCATGTAAGTTAATTACTGATAACATGAAGGGGTAACATATCAAATTTAAATTAAAGAATCAAGAGAAAAGCTTCAGTAAATTTGATGTGCAGCAATTTTTGCAACAATAAAATTCAAAAATTTCTGACACATTCAACTTGCAGCACAGGTAGTTAATGGTTAGTAAAACAAGATTCTTCTAGAGTGATTTTTAAATAGCACGTTGCATCTTTAAATGACATAAAGCTAGTATAAAAAGCCTAGATATTTTGAACTCACCTTCTTTGTCGGAGTGATCCTTTTCTAGGAAGAAAATCAGCAACAGTATCCACAGTTAATATACCAGTCACATAACCTCTATTAAGACTAAATTTCCCATCAAAACCTCCAATTTTGAAATCTTCACTTCCAAATAACAATGTATCATCAGCTGAACCACCAATGACAGCAACCAAACAAGTTCTCCTGCAACCAGATGGAATGGAGAATCCTGACAGCATTGCCACCAGTCTGTCAACTCGCAATACAAAATCCAAAGGGAAGGAATATTCAGGGAAGAATGAGCTACAGTGAGTTTCAGCCACTTCCCAACAGTCCTCTAACCGTGCCTCCCGAACAACAATCTCAGGAGACAGAGTTGGAAAGAGATCAACAACTTGAGTAGCTCTGCATACCCCTACACCGAAATACCAACATGTCCAAAGAAACTATTAACACACAAATTTCCTACAATCATGCAGTTGAAATAGAAATGTTCTATGCCTGCATACATACTCAAGTCTAATTCAATTAAATTCTAGTTTTCACTTCCATCTAAAGCCTGTTTAGTTAAAGTCCCTGAAGGGATACCTCAAAGCTTAGAACTTAGAACTTAAGACTTCAACGTGGTGACAAGTTTGAATCTGGGGAGGGATTTATGGAATTGGAGACAGATACCTCTCTCTCTCTCTTTTTAGCTCAAACAAATTAACCAAAACTTTTTTTTGTTTAATTTCTTTTATAAAAAATGCATTTTGGTTGATATATATGGCTTATAATTATTGCAACTTCATTTTCAAGGTCCTTCAAAGCAAGTAATGGACAAACAGCCATGCCATGAATTCAATGAAACTAGCATCTCCAGCCTGAACTACCCATTGAAAATGTCATACCAAAACTCTGGAAAGGAACCCACATTCCATCACTTCCACCAAGTGTCGGAAAAAGAAAGGTGCTTTATGGTCCATACAAAAAATGAAAATCATTCATAAATTCAATCAAAAGCACACTGAACCAACTCAAATTCACATCTAAACAAACAAGAATTACACCCCCCCAAAGTCTCAAGAACCAAACAGAACCAAGATATTTAAGCAATCGGCAAAGTCAATGCAAACAAGATGACATACCCAAATCCAACAAATCCATGCACAACTAAATTCACACGTCGACATATACCAAAACCCAATTTTACTCTTAAAGAAAGAAATCTTCAGGACATGAGTCAAATCAAGTAACTTATGTTCATCAAAGAATAAACTAATCAAACCCACTAAAGAAAAGATTTTAACTTTGTTACCTGATTTGGACAGAGATGGTTCATGAGAAACCCTGGAAGAAGAAGAAGAAGACAAAAAGGGTGGTGCTTGCTTTTTTGAAACAGAGAGGAGGGGAAGACCGGATTTCGAGGAGGCAGTTGTAGTTGTAGTAGCGGGAGAAACTGTAATTGAAGCACCCAAAGGCAAGCTCCGCATTTCTAGGAGACTGTGTGTCCTTGTGCCACCTCACTTCTCTCTCTGTCTCGCTATAGTCTCCGGAGATCCTTTGATTGTTGGGTTTGGAGAGAGACTGATGGAAGGAATTCTTATAACAAAGAGACAAAAGTAAGCAAAAAACGATGTGATGAACCTCTGGACACAAATACTGTGTGTAGTTGTGGTTGCCCACTTGCCTAGTTCTGCTCTTCTTTTCTTCACAGTTTTAGGACAAAAGCATGTCACATGCGACCTTTTAAGAAGATATAAATCTGGCGAACCGACTCCACACACACCTGCTGTACTTTGCCAACTCGTTTGCTTACTTCCCATATAGTACACATGTTAGAAGAAGCAAACTTCAAACTCAGTAAATTTTGTTTTTGTTTAAAGGATGTTATACCTTAGTTACACTATATCAAGCAAAAAAAAATAACATAATTATTAAAAAAAGGTTTAAAAATTATACGTACAAATATTATTTATCCATGATACTTATGCATATATGTTCAAATATGTATATATAATAAAGCGTAAGTTGTAACTTTCTTTTTAATTTCATTGGTTGAGTATTTGAATAAGATATCATGCGGCAACTCTTCTTTTTATTTTATTTTAAGAAAACCCTCATTTATTTGATCAATTCTCCTCAATTATAAAAATATATATATGCTTCTTAAAAAGTACTATTTTAAAATATTTTTGAAATTTCATAATTTAATCTTTAATATTATGATATTTTGAATTTATTTTTCTTGATACGTGTAAAAATAATATGGCAACTGCATCTTTTGAAATACATTACTTACTGGGCCCAGTTTGCAATCCTAGGTTTGGATGGCTGAGTTAGGGCAAATTTTACGGTAAGGCAAGCTTACTGTAAGGCTATGAATAAGAGCTATTAGATTTAGAGGTTTTTATTATGGCCATTGAATAATAAAAAAAATTACAAGTTGTTTACCTATCAAACAGGTTAAGGAAAAAACTTAAATTAACCCTTGTTAAAAAAAATAAATATTAATTGAAGAGAAAGAACTAACCAAGAAAATAACATAATTTTTATGAAAATTAATTATTTACATTTATATTCCTGAATAAAAAATTAATCACTGAGAAATTTTTAAATAGATATTTTAATAAAACTTTATTATAATAAATAATTATTTTATCTTTATTATTATTTATTTATAAATTAAAATTTATAAACTATTAAATAATTTAAATTCGAGAATAAAAATTTAAGTGTTTAATTTTCACAAAAACTATATTTATTTTGACTTAATTAACTTATTACGTTAAATCTCAAACATTTACATCAATATTTTTACAAGTTTACATCAATATTTACGTTAAATTTTATTATGTTAAAAAAGTGTTGTTAATTTCACATGCTATTTGTGAAACTTAATTGATCAATATAAAAATTTATTTAAATACAAATAATAAGATAGTGATTTTTATGAATACAATAAAAAATAAAATTTTATTTAAAAAATGGAAAGAATTTAGAAACGTGCTCAGTACTTTAGCCGAAATGAAAATATACAAAACCAAGAGGGACACCGGTCCAATTTTTTTTTTTTAGGTCATATTTAAGGTCCGATTTCATATTTGAAGTATCCGATGCCAAACTCGAACTTGAATATCAGATATCCGACATGTGGTGTTGCATGTAGCTTTTAACCTTTTAGGTACAAATACAAATCCCCTGCCCCTCCCGTACCCCACTTTCCCACACATTTCATAATCACTGCTATAAGGTGGACCTAATGTCCTATTATGGCTCCGTGGAGGTTGAGAAATCATGTGCTGCATATTGTTGCCTTGACTAATAAACGTCAACAACGGCAAATTCGACATACTGTTAGATCTGGAAACAACATGGCGGATATGCTTGCCAGGGCCGGGGTGGGGAGGGAACATAATCTTTTGTTATTTCACTCTGTTTAGATTCCATTTTGAGTTGGAAGAATGGTTTTTGGAATTTTTTTTTTTCTCTATTCACATCCCTGGCTTCTTTTTGGGCTCTACTATGGCTCCCAGGTGGTCCAAGTTCTTTCGTCGATCTGAGTTTCCTGCTCTGTGCTTGGGTCTTCTTGGTTTTGAAGACTCTTGTGTCTGTTTGATTTTAGATTTTTGGTGAGTCCTGCTAATTGATTTGATCACTCCTTTAACTGTTTGATGTTGTGAATGTCTGCTTCATCAGGCTTTTTGTGGAGTGAGTGTTGATTGCCTCTACTGGTTTTTGCTTGAATCGTTGAATTTAAATAAAAAAGTAACAAGAAAACCTTACAAGAGGCTAATAGATGGAAAAGATGGAAAATATATATATATATATATATATATTTGAAGAAAGAGGATACACGTCCTGTTCGGTACAAAGAGTTTCAGATCGATGGAAAGGCATCCTACCACACCGCCTCTGGTGTACCGAAGTTGTTTGACCTGGTAGGACGAAGTCAATGCATCTTTGTTTTCCTATTTCGCAACTCTCCACAGGTGCTTTTCTTTTTTAATTAATAATTATCTTGTTGGAGTAGAAGCATTCACTTTCCTTTTTCTTCTCAAAAAACACAATATATATATATTTATATTTATTCAGAAACAAGTCATAAATTGTTCTGGATGATGAACTCACTAAGAGGGTGCCTGGTTCAGGCTTTTTAATCTAAAAGTTATTATCAAATTTTTATAAAAAATAATATTTTTTAAAATTAAATTAAAATTGATTGATAAAATAAATTATATAAATTTTAATTTTAATTAAAATTATTGTAAAAAAGATTTATATAATTTTCAATCATCAAAATAAAAACGAAACAAACTTATTTTGAGTTTTTATATGATTTTATATGTTAAAATCAAAGAAATTTATAAAAAAACATAATCACTCTTAATAGAAATTTTTTTGAAAAAATTGATCTATTTAAAAAAAAAGAATTTTTTTAAATTTTTTTTATTTTATTTAAAAAATTATTTTTAAAACTTATTAAAAATCTTGTTGGATTTATTTTTTTGTTTTTATAAAATAAATAAGTTGAATTAAAATCTCTTATTTCACTTTTTATAAAATTATAAAAAATTAACAAATTCATTAACATGATTAATTATATAAAATTCTAACACAAATACTATAATTAATAAAGATTTTTAACACTTACTTAACCCTATGTCCATCCACCCCTATGTTTATTTCACCTAAGGTTTTGGATTCACTCTCTCATAACACGTATGACACATGATAAAAGTTATAATTTTTTCAAACGTCAAATGCTTATTATGATCAGTAATAGGAATAGAGGTATGCGATGCCACGAGTTAATTTCTTTAAAATTATGAATTTTAATACATATTGATCATATTATTTTTGTTTTAAAATAAAGACTTAGCATGCTCTCATATACAGTGTTTTTATCAAAATATTTTCTGTTCCAACAATGTTTTCTGTTTATTTGTCTCCAAGTATCATTATTTTCTTCTGTTTTATTTTCGGCACAAAAATACCCAAAGCTGAAACTTGATTGACGGACAGAGAAGGAGCGACACACACGCATTGAGAGAAGACGGGCAAGCCCGATAAATTTTCCCCAATTTCTTCTATTTTCCTCGTTTCTTTCCCGAGGAAAGTGATTTTTTTACTAATTTTCCTTTAATTTTCCTATGCCTGCCAATCACAGGAAATGAAATCCAAGAATCCCACTTTCTTTTTTTCCTCTCTTTTTCCCATGAACCAAACAGAATGGATTATCTCCATAGAATTGAGAAAATTTCAGTGATTAAAATGTCTAGTCAACCAGAGCAAAACTAACCATAGAGATTCTAAATTGAACTTGAAGAACATCAAATTCAGCATTAGCTCTACGATAAGCATAAGGGATACGAGATTCCAAATGTTTAAACAAGTAGGAAAAAGAGAGATTACCTGGGGGGTGGGGGGAGAGAGAGTATTAGGAGCTGTGATGACAGATTTTACTCATCTGGCGGAGCTGGAAAGGTGGACGGTGAAAGAAAGGCAAGGCAACTGGAAAGGTGGACGTGAGAGAGGAGGTCGAAGAGAAAGGGGCAGGAGAAAGAGAGAGAAAAAAAATGATTTTATATGAGTAGAGTTGTAATTTTCTAAATTTATGTAATACTGATAGCAAGGGATTAGATTTAGTTAAAAGATAGTTTTTTCTAGTTTTAATAAAAGATGATTTTTTATTGATTTTAAAAGATAGGTAAAGTTTAAGAATTGTTATTTTTTTTTGTTAAATTGTCAACCATATAATATAGGGGGAAATAGTTTAATTTTAACACTACAAGTCCCATTAGGTGAGTCAATTTCGTCCTAAGTCTGTGTTCAGTTCCACTGAAGTTGCTTTGTAAAATTCTTGTAGAGAGCTTACGACCAATGCTGATTGAGCTAGTTGGTGACACACAAAGCAGCTTTATATCGGAGCAACAAGCATCTGATAATGTAATTGTAATGCAAGAAGCCATCTACACAATGCAGATTATAAAGAGAAGGAAAGGAGTTTTGGCCATCAAAATCGACCTAGAGAATGCTTATGGTAGACTTAAGTAGTCTGTTTTTCAAGAAGTCCTTGTGGAGGTAGGTCTTCCCTCGCAATGAATAAGTTAATTATGCATAGTGTCCAGGCCCTTACTTTTTCTGTTATATGGAATGGTAAGCAATCACAAAAATTTGTACCATCCAGGGCATTAGGTTAGGAGATCCTCTTTCTCTTTATCTTTTTGTGCTATTTTTGTAGAAATTGTCACAGCTAATTAATGAAGAAGTTAAAGTAGGGTATTGGCAAACAAAAAATGGACCCTCTCTGATGTATGTTTTGCAGATGACATCAAGTTATTTGGAACAGCTGCACAGACCCAACTACAAGCTATGATGCGGGTTATCCATAAGTTTTGCTCAGCGTCAGATCAAAAAGTAAGCCTTCAGAAATCCAAAATGCTCGTCTCCTTAAATATTTACCCAACTAGAGCTAAAGAGTTAAGTTGTGCTGCCTACATGAGCCTCACAAATGATTTTGGTAAATATTTGGGCACCCCGATGCTTCATGGTAGGGTTGAAAGAACCACTTATTCTGATTTATGTAACAAATTGGTGAGGAAGCTTGAACAATGGAGCAATAAATTCCATTCAATGGCAGGGAGAGTCTCCTTAGTACAAGCAGTTACTAATACAATGGCTTTGTATGTTATGCAAACCCCATGAATCCCGGATAACGTGGCCAAGGAAATTGACAAGTTGAATTTTATTTGGGGTCAGTTGGGTGGAGAGAGGAAAATTCATGCTATAACTGGAGCACCCTTTGCCTTCCCAAAAACCTTGGAGATTTACAGGTTTGGGAGACCAGGAAATTTAATTTGCTTTACTTGCCAAGCTTGGTTGGCAATTGTGGCGAGGAAAGGATTTTTATTGGTTGAAATCTTGTGCAAGAAATATCTAAAGAATAATGATCTTTTCTCAGTAAAAGCTAAATCATCTGGCTCCCGCATTTGGCTAAGCATACTGAAAAGTAGGGAGGTTCTTGCAAAGGGATTAGGAATGGTAGTGAACAACGGCCTTCATACAAAATTCTGGTTGGACTCCTGGCTGCCCTGTGGCCCATTAATTGGCTTTGCTACCAGAGATTTACCAGTGGCATGCTTCTGTGATGACTAGGGAAACTGGGACTTAGATGCTCGTATTGATTCCTTACCAATGCAGGTTATTCAGAAAATTGCACCATATTCTATTGATCCCAGCAGTGCTGAAAATGACAAATGCTTTTGGACTTTGACGAGCAGTGGAGAATTCACTGAAAGTCTAATTGCAATAAATCTACCTGAGATGAATAAATGGCGACAGTTATGGAGTTTAATGAGTTGTAGGAAGGTCAAAATGTTAAGAACTTTAGGCTCTTCGAGATTTTGCATGAATCCCTTCCAACAGCAGCATGGTTGATGTTAAGAACTTTAGGCTCTTCGAGTTTTTGCAGTAGATGTAATAATGCTACAGAAAATCTTATGCATACTCTGAGAGATTGCTCCTCATCTAAAGACACATGATTGGAAATTAACTAAGATTTGACTTCCGGGGACTTTTTTTATTTAGACTTTCTGCAGTGGGTCCAAGCAAATACTACTAGCGATGCATTGTATGATTCTTTGCTCTGGGGTGTTATTTTCATTCACACACTTTGGATGCTCTAGTACTGGAGAAACTTGAGTATATTTGAAATAGATTCTAAATGGCCGGATAATGCACCACAAAAGATAAGCTTGGGATATTCTGCACTATCGTCAGTCGAAAATGAGATATGAAATTCCTGTAGCCTGGGTTAAACCAAATCATCCTTATGTGAAGCTGACCGTGGATGGTAGTGTAAAAGGCCAACCAGGAGATGCCGTTGCTGGAGGATTAGTCAGAGACGATAAGGGAAATTGGTTATTTGAGTTTGCCTTCAAGATTGGTCTTTCCTCCTCCCTTGGTGCAGAGCTTTGGACAATTTTAAAGGGTCTTGAACTATGCTGGGAAAGAGGCTTTAGAAAGGGTCCTGGTAGAAAATTTAGAGGGTAACTCAGACGGGATCTTATTTAGAGACGTGTACGAGCATTGTAAAGTATATACAAAATATTGTCCGGCGAGACTGGCCTTGCTCACTCTGTTGCGTGAAGCCAATAGCTGCATGGACTGGATGGCACCCAATCATAAGAATATTCTTTTAGACCTACGTGCTTTTTAGGCCCCCCAACCAAGTATGTCCTTTCTATTGTTAGCGGATAAATGATGGTTTTTGTAATTTAAGTGATGTTGGTTATTTTATAATATAATGTGATTATAGATAATATAATTATAAAAAAATAATATTAAAATAATAATTAATATATAAAAAAATATTACAATGATTTATAAATATAATGTAATGTTAATTTTTAAAATTATTTTTATTTATTAAAATATAAATTTAATATATTTATTTTTTATTTTTAATTTTTTATAATATTATTTATTAAATATATTTTAATGTTATATATTTTATTTTTATTATAATTTGATATATTATATTTTAATTTTTTAATTATATATTTTATTTTAATTTTTTAATTATATTATATAATTTTAATTTTTTAATATTTTTTATTTTAATTATAATATTATAAAATATTTTTAATAAAATAATAAAATTAAAAAATATAAATGTTTATAAAAATATTACATAGTATAATATAATGTAATTATATTGATTTTGAATTAAAATTACGTTATATTTCGTAATTGTAATATAATTATATTATAATTTTATAATTTTATATTATAATAATTTATTATAAAATAAATATTACAATACAATTTAATTAAATACATTGTGTACTTTCACTCTTCTCGTACTAATTGCTACCTTAGTTACGTGTGCTTTTTACATTTGACTTCTGTCTTTTGGTATTTTAGCGCGTTTGAAAGGAATATTCGATTTGTCACTGCTTATTCTCTTTTCTTGCTCACCTGGCTCTTATCGTCTGATGCTAGAGAAGGTCGGTGCCCAAATGCAAGAAGGAAAATTTTCTGCCATCTGACACTTTCTCGTTTCCCTCTCTCTTTCTCCCTTATCGCAAAAAACTATATTAAAAAATGGCCGCCGCCCCCCAGCTCTCAATAAAAGGGAATGCGGCAATCTATTTTCTCTGTGGCAGCGTCGCTGCAAATTCCAAGGTAATCCGTCTCTTTTTTCTTGCTAATGTATTCTCTAATCTCATTTATGTCGTATAAATAATTTTGGATTTTTCTTTTCGTTGCGATGATTTTATTTTCTTATAAATTGAAATATTGGATTATGAAATTCCGATTCCATTGATTATACCTATTCGCCCAAATACCTCGACGATTCCCGCACGTTAATACATAGAACCCAATAAGTATATCTTGAGTCGGTACGGAAATGGGATCCCCAATAGCTAACCCAGGGCGTTTTTTTTTTCTTATTTCTCTTCCGTAATTTTATATTTTTGGCTAAACTCCAGATTCCCATTACATAAAAATCTTATTTCTTGCATTTGAACTTCACTAAGTTGGGAAAAATTGACAGGAATATTCCATCAAGCATTTTGTTGAGAAAACCAAGCATGACGGGACTAGGAATGGTACCATTCTTAATCCTTGTTCTTCTGCCTTCGTTGCGGGTCTCATTGGAGGCAAGTGTCCAAGTGCAAAATGCCATTGTTATTCCACCGTATCAGAGTCCTCCATGCAATGCAGATCATCCGAACAACTGTCCGAAGCCTATCAATCCTCCCCCTTCTAAACCTTGCAATGGGGCCAACAGATGCCGTATTCATTCGATGTTTTATGAAGATGGCAGGTATTAGGAGTCGCACCCTTGTTTTAATGTAGGTGGTTTTAAAAGTTTTTCTCATTTCCTCTCAGCCATGTTTGTTCCTCCCCTCCATTTTACTTCCTTTCTTCCAAACATTTTCTAGCACTGTGTTTTTCCTTTCTCATTTTTGTATGGATAATGAAAGCAAAAGAAAAGAAGGAATTAGACTAAAATTGTAGATAAAATTATTAATTTTAGTTGCATGAGTTCTAGCACTTGCGAAAGGATTGGAGTTTGAGGGAATAGTGGAAAAGGTGGAATATTTTACCCATTTTCCTTCCGTATTCTGGTTTTCCTCCTACCAAACAAGGTGCAAGTGTTTTGGATTGATTTTAGCTCAGTTTTCTATCAGTTTAAAGTTTAGAGAATGGGTGGTTGCATGGTCAGCCTAATTTGCAGTTTACTAGAGCTTTTATGGTCTTTCAACGATGTAGTTTAATGCATCATAGCTCCAAATAGTGTCAATAACTGGTGGACTTATTTTGACTTGCATATTTTATCCACTGGTCTTAATGTTGAAAAAAAAAAAACCTCATTAGATGTTGGGGATGATGAATGTTTTGCTTTACTAATAAAACTACTAGATCTTAGTAGTTAGGCAGTGCTGGCACTGCTTGGGTTGACAGGTCACACTGCCATAGGCCTATGGCATTTTAATGGGATGAAAACAATTTACCATTGATTTGGTCATTTTGAGCTGTTAAACTTAACCTTTTCCTTCATTCTCCTGCCATGCATACAGTGGTAACCGATTTCTGGTTGATCTTATTGTGGAGGGAGGACCTGCAGACCTCACCGATCTAGTACTTACAGAAGCAGTCACTTCCGCTATTTCTAGATGGTTGGTGAAGAAAACAAAGAATAATGCAGCTCAAGAGTTAAGAATTTCTATCGATACAATTGATGGTCATTCTCCTACATTTGCTGAGCTACGGGTATTTGCATTTTACAATTAATTTGTAGATGCTAGTTACTTTCTTTTTCTTCTATTGCAGGTTTATGTAGTTTGATTTTTTCTCAATATTAAAATGGAATGAAGTAAATGTTCTCTCTTTTAATCATCTCACTGGCATCATTGCTGCTAGATTATTTGTCTGGAAGACAATTTCTACCACTTAATTTCTTTGATTATTGATAATTTGACAATTGACTTTCCAGTATGCTGCTTCCTGGGGCACTCGTCAAGCAGCCTCAAATTTTAAGTAAGTAATGATTTTCTATTTTTATGTTGGTCTTCTATTTTCATGTTGAGCTAATGATTGGAAGACATTAATTAAGTACGTAATGATGTGTCACATAATGGTAATGGTCCAAGCAAGTGTAGGTATTGTGTGATTTCAGGTGTCAACCAAATTCTTGGGTTGGATATATGAAGTGCATGATTTCTTGTTGGAGTCTGGAAGGGTTTTTTTGCATATATAAACTGTTTTTTTTTTTTTCCAGAAAAGATATGAACTACTTAAGATGGTAGTAGTAAGTTTAGCATTTTTTCAACTGACACTATGATGGTAGCAGTAGTGGTAGTACTCGTATCTATGTTTGGTACTTAGAGCATATCATCATGCAATATACTCGTTTCCTTTCTGGAAACATAGCAGCAGTTTTGTGTATTGATGTTACCTTTCCATGTAGTTTATTGTCTTTCTATTCTCCAGTTTAAGTTTTTATTGAACTTTCAAAAAAAAAAGAAGCTTTTATTGAATTTGCACATATTTCTATTGAGAACAAATATTTTCCTTATCAATATATATTATTAGCTATGTTAATTGATGTAATTTTCCTTCTGTAGGGTAGTATTCACACCAGCATCAGATAGTGCACATACTGAGAAAGAGGCATCTTTTGATCGATTCTATGCGAACATTATGATAAAAGGTTGTTTTTCTGTTAGCAGAGTATGTAAAGATTACACATGCTCGAAAATAATCATTTTTCCTTGGAAGGATTTCCTTTTGTTTACAAATAGAATGTTTTTCTAAGATCTTTTTTAACTGGTAAACTTTTATCTTGTGAGCAGCTAGTCATCCTGGTAAGCCGGTGATGTTCGAGTTCTCCACTATTGCTAAAGGTCTTGGGGAAGCTGATCTGAATGACATGATGAAACCTGTTCCAGATGTGTTCCGCAAATTACGGTTGAAGGCTACATGGATGGAGTCAGAGGATGAGTACATGAGCCACCCAAAGCCCTGAGAAATTCTTTCTTAACTCTGCTTATGCAAAACCAATAGTAAGAACTTGACTCCTCAAACGTCAACTGAAGCTTTCTCTCATACGTATTTGATAGTATTATAGTTTGTTCCAAGAATTAAAATGAAACAGTTTTTATCGTTTGATATATATAGATCAAATGAGTCTTTACTCTAATCTCTCTGCAGCCTGAAGTCTAATGAGTCTCCATATGTACGAAATAATGAACGCTAAAAATAATACTCTTTTATTTTGTATTTGACTGAACCATGGAATTAATTTGTGCCTTATTTGTTAATCTTACAATGAGGTTTAATGAGTAGACTCATTTCACTTAGGCAGCAATAATCAACAATCAAACAAAAGGAAAAACAATTGTTGGCCTTACTTCTACGGATTGTGTCACTGTTCAACATCAAATTTGATTTGATAGCTCTCAATAGAGTAATTAGCTAGTTATCAATCTTACTTAGGATTCAATTATATGTGTTTTGTGATAATTATATTAAAAGTAAATTATAAATCCATTTCTTTCCTAGTTAGGCTGGAGTGTTGTTAGTAAATACGTTTTAAATGCCATTCACTGACCTAAGAAATTCTCAAAGCATCTTTGCAAAAGTTAAATAACTCACTGTTTAAACTGATTCAATAAAATGCTGCCACTGCTGCTTCTTGGTGCTATACCCAAAGACTCACTTGTCTTTTTCTGCTTGCAGGGCCCTTCCTTGCCAATTTTGAAGAACAGAAGCTGATTCACACATACATTGAAGCAAAAGAAAAGAACATTTTTGTTATATACAACTATGTTGTTGTTTTTCATTATTATTTTTGTATAATTGAGGAAGGAGATTTGAATTTTACTTTTTAGGCGGAAGATAATGTACTAATCAATGAATTAAATGTTTGGGTGTTTGTTTTTCACCGTTTTGTTAATTATGTTTTTTAGTTTTTAAGATACAAAATGCAAATAATCAAATTCTTAATTGTCAAAAGTGTCGACTTTATTGCAAAATAATGCAAATTTGTCCTACACAATGTAACAATCGATCGTCTGTAAACTCTAATAGATCGTACAAATTTAATAATATATAAAATTAAGAAATTACATTAAAAGTTAATTCATAAAATAAAAACGGCTTTTTTTTTTCTTTCCATCTATCCCATTTTTAAGTTCCAGAACTATGTATAATACTTTTTTAACGTTTTTATAATGAAACTACTTTTGATAAATTTCTTTTTCACTTTTTGGCATTTTTAGGCATTAAAAAAATGATGAAACATTAATTTATAAAAGAAATTTTAATTTTAAATATTATATCACATAAAAACCAAATGTTAAATTTCAAGAAAATGAAAAAAAAAAAAGAGAATCAATTAAGAACAGAGGGAATATGTAGATTCATTTTTTTTTTAATGAACTTCATAGGATTCAAGAGTTTAGTAAAACCATATACTGCATGCCTTCAAAATCTCTTCTTTGTAACTATAATCACAGCCTAAGTTAGTGCTCAATGGCAGTCCTCTGAACAGACTCCAGTACAATCTCCATTGTTGTTTTCAGCATAGCCCAGACTAATGAACAGCATGAGAAAACCAATTCTTGTGCCAAAGCACCAATGGTACTAACAACTTTTTATTATAAGAAATTGGTAAGTGATGAAGGACAATCTAATTCTGTATTTACAGAAGCAAGAAAAATAGAAGATTGCACCCTGTCCCCAGTAAACCATCCTATGCAATTACACAAGAATACCAGTACCACTGTTCTCATTACGAGTCAAGGGGTCCATAATTTTTCAGTAGGGTCCCGAGGGGTGTTTCAGGGGTCTGGAAATTAACAGGAAGACTGCTCAGAAAAGATAAAGTGTGTGGAGAAGTGGACTTCCCAAACAAGGAACACCATGCCGGAAGCTTCTTAAGGACTCTTTCAGCTTTTGGGGTTAATTCATTAAGATCGGTTCTGAGCTTTAAGAGTGGACGCTGTTCCGCTTCCTGTCCCGGCATGTTGTGTGCCTTCTGTTCGGTCTTTTTCACCCAGAAGAGAGTCAGACCAAACCTTGTTGGTGCATTTATGCCTCCTGAAACTTGAATAATATGCCATCCATCTTTGCTGCTCTTACCATCCGCTGGGATTACCTCCATTGAATCCGCTGCATTCCAGGTTAAAAGTAAGATTAATAGACAGACTAGAGATTCATGTAAAGTGGGGCAAGCATTGATATCAAACTAGTGTAGTCTATATCCAGAACCCTACACCATTTCTCAAACACACTAGGAACTCCTCTTCACCTATCTCCGAAGCTTTTGAGATATCACAAAGAAAACCTAGACGTCTTGCTGTTGTTAGGTTAATCCAACCAGTACTTAAGTCACTCCCATAATAAATACTTCAGCAAAAGTAGACCTACATTTACATATTGCTTACTGTGCACAACGACCAAACACTTGCCTCAATGATCACCATTTCCAAAACTTGACATAATCTATCTTCAGTCATTTCCTCCTAGACAGATGCTAAAAAATATTGAATATTGCAAGTGAATCAACCTTCCACATCAAGCCCCTCACCACCACACGCCCAGCTGAACAGAGTTCAAATCAGCCAGTATAACATGGCACTGTCTTAAACTGAGTACATATGCAAGCATATAACATTATTGTTACAGATATCTAATTGAAGATTAAACCCTGATCAAGAAACAACTGCAATTATATATAAGAACAACACTCTAAGCAAAGAATACTCAAGAAAAGATTACACACAGCAAGTTTTAAATTTGTATGTTAACAACAATATCAAGCATGTTCCCAATAAATTTTTGAGCAACAGCTACATAGCATGAAACTATATCCAACGCCATCATTAGCTAGGGCAATCAGAAGAGAGAACTGGGGTTTCCATTTATTTGCCCAATAGAAATCCAAACCAGAGAAACCAAATTAAAAAGAAAGGGCTAACCACCATAAATGCTGGGGCATATTAAATAGTGCGATCCTAGGTGTTAACAAAGTTTCAGATTGTGCCCTGCTTTCTCACAAGATCAAGTGTCCATAATGGGAAATTGATCCCAGATACTATAACCCTTTCTCACACGGTACTCACAAATTATAAAATAGAATTTCTGAAAACTTTCCGCTAGTAAACACCATATCTGTCCTACCCTTCAGAGTGTGACAACTGCTGTAATTACCCCCTTCTCCATTTTCATTTCTGCCTTATTTCTCTCTGGTTTTTCCCCCTAAATAGGGAAACAGAAAGGAACAAATGCAAGTACGCCAATGAGAATAAAGAAGAATGACACACATGAGCTAACTTCATTATACCTTTAAACATGAAGTCATCAATTTCCTCAGTATTGATTGCAAGAAACCAGCGTATGGACCTCTTAGTATCAATTGCAACTCTTGTGATTCTCCTAACTCCATTATTTGTATCATAGACAACATCTAGCGTGGGAATATCTGACTCATTCCAGCCCCCTTCAGTTTCATCAAATGTCAAACAGCCATATTTGACTGAAAAAGTGACAAAATCAATAACCTTGTGTCTGCCACATACAAAGCCCTCTCTAACTTGATCAATTTCCTTAGTCAACTTTCCAGGAGTTATGGAAGATAGAGAAACAAATGAGATAGGCTTTTCACCAAATCTTCCTGTTGTATCCACAACATGCACCACCTGGAACCATAAAATCTTTTGTTATCTAAAGAAGATAAAAGAACATGTTTTATTAGATGCTAGTATTATGCTAACATTAATTCAACAATCCCAAGAATACATTTAATAACAGAGTGGAATCTGTTATTCTAAAACAAACACAATTGAATCTAAACATGAATGTAAAGCATAATTCAGAGCAACCCAAAGGCATCAGTTAAAACTAATTCAAACTAAAAAGGTAACCTGGAAATTACTGGTAAAGAAAGAAATGAAAGTTCCATGTAGATATTAAGTACTAAAAGCACAGCGTTCTGCTAGTAACTTTAAATGAAATCAGAATATCAGGCAGATAAACCATATTAATTAAGGTTAAATTAAAAAGAAAAGAACCTCAACTTTTTCTGATTTAGCTTACTTAAAAATGATAAGAATAATACATGTTCACTACTTATGAAAAAAAGCAATATTAGGACAAGGGATACTCCTTCCATATCACCACAAGGTGTAAATATCAAGAATAGGAACCTCATCTAAGATTATAATTTAGCTTCATTCCTACCTTTCTCTTTATGGAAAACAAGCTAGAAGATAATCTTAGCCGTTAGAATTAAAAACAATCTAAATTTCAAAAAATAAAAAATAAAAAACAATCTTTTAGCCCTTTCTTATTAGCTTAAACTTAGAGGATTGGTGGTTCTCTAATCAACTAAAACCCCCACTCTTGCTCTTTGAAGCGAAGCTGCAAACAATTGAAAAGGGGGTTCCAAGCAGCTGCAAGAATCTTTCATAACAAATCAAATGAGTTTAACATTATGCACCAAAATATTTGAGTTAAACATTTCATTCATTAAAATTCTTGGATTCAAGAAAACTGAACCACAAACAGGACATTTTTACAGTTTCTAATGTCAAGGACAACAACTATCATTAATATGATGAAAGGTAACACCTCGATGTAGTAGTTTAAGTGTGAAAATTGTTGAACTATAGGTATGGAACTTACATTCACAGCTCTGGCAAAGTCCTCAGTGAATGGTGGAATGATACCAGAAAACACCACAGCAAGTGAGAGAACAAACAGAATACAAGTTGAAAGGACAACAGATGTTTTTGCACCTACAATGCGGTCACACAATATGAAGAGAACAAACAGGCATGTCAAATAATAATTTTTTATAATTTTTTTATTGTACATAAAGGAGCACCTAAATGACAACATAGGAAAATTGCAGGCAGAAAGTAATTGACTCCGGGAATAGAAGAGATGGTTAACATCCCAAAATAATTTCATAGAAATAAATAATACTCAATAACTGAAGAAGCCCTTAAATCTTGTACATGGGTGACGGGCTTCAATAGCTTGCTTATATAAATATTATGGGCCCTTCATCCACAAAGAACTTCTTTTGCTTAAATTTTCATCACTTCAATAGCTTGCTTATATAAATTCATCCACTTTAAAAGCCAAAAACTAACCATTATGGGCTCTTCATCAGCAAAGAAGTTCTTTTGGTCCAATGGAACATGTTGATAGTTAGTAGGTAACTACTACAGTAGTTTATCATTTCAATCAAGTTTCTATGTCCAGAGGACACAGGTATTTCAGTAATCTTTTGTTTTGAGATTAGGCATTAGCTCTGGTCCATTGAGTTTTGGATCTAACAAACTTATTAGGCTTCTGTATATTTTTAGTTTATAGCATTGGCCCTTATTTTTAAGTCTCATGATTTAGGAGTCCTGGCCCAGGAATGATGAGTTAGTATTTGGCTAATTATGTCTTTTGAACTACAAGGCTTGGCGGAGTTGGATTTTCTAATAAAAGCCTGAGTTATAAAGTAGTACTACTCTTCTTCTTATTCTCTCTCTACACTACTACGCTGCCTTGGAGTGCTACTCATATTAAGCAAATGGTACATAACCTGCATTATTCTAGTTTTCTGCTCAGAATTTACAGCATCTTTTCCTATTAATGCCAGCCCTCTTTCATCATCAAATATCAATTGAATCAAACCCCAACTGACTCCAAAACCTTAACCCTTATTCCTATCAAAGCCATAAACCTCAAAATCCCTAAGTTTCTATCACTAGCTCACCAACACCCAAGTAGGCAGACTTCCCAAATCTGTTCTACACCAGTGGCACATCCTAACATTTGGCAGAAACTCTGGAAAACTTCAAAGCAGGCTGAAGATCAATTAACCATACACATCAGGACTATCAACTCATTACTCACCAGTGCACGTGCCATAATGCCCAAAGTTGAATTAGGAACCTTCTAAATTAAAAAAAAAAAATGACACAACAGTGGCATAATTAAATTATTTTGCTCAGCCATAAGTTCTTTGTTTTGCATGCTTATCATGCCTTTAGCTGGTGGCCAAAAAAGTTCATTATACATCAATCTTTTATCAATTAAGAGCTCTAGCTGTAAGGATTGTTTACAAACAATTATATTATGCAATAGCCACTGAAATTGAAACTGTTCAGAGGCTGCAAAGTTCCATGTTCCAGAAGGGTATTTGAGCATATCTGGCTCACGCTACCACCATATAATCAACTCTAGAAAACATATCCTAGATCAAATTCACATCTGTTCAAATTCACGCCCTTTTATGCCTAAAAGACAAAGACTCTAACCTTAAATTAAATGATATGACTGTCCTTAATGGTTAATATATATTCTGGACCTAAATATGCAATTTCATTGTCTGTATATTCATTGAACATTCAACCTAATGGCAACACCTCATCATCACCAACAAAAATGTCAATGCCAAGGGCAACCATGGAAAGCATTTGTAATAAATAAATACCTGAAAGATGAATATATGAAAGGAGATACACCAGAGTTAGGCATATAACAACAGCAATAAAAATGGAAAGTATCACACTCGCCAGCCACTCAGGAGTATCGCCTGGATTTCTACACACAAGCATATAAAGCAAAATCAGCAGTGGTTTTTTAAAATCTCTAAAGCAAGTATAAAATCCAAATTCCAAAACCAAACTAACAAGTTTGTCATGAGAACAACAACATCAAAAGATTTTCCATTAACACAGAGCATGCTATGCCCAAAGGATGTCGACTGGCAAGCTGTCTAAGCGCTAGAAAGATAGCCAAAAATATATTCACTATAAAACTTCTAAACAATCAGGTATTAAGGATTTTGGATCTTTTTTTGTACGTATTAAGTTTTTCTGCTTAACATTTGACCCAGTTGTAAGCTTTCTGATCATAAGGCTGCAAAACAGTAAGGTAAAAGATCAGACCCCAAATCCCCAAAAATTTCAATAGTTATGTAAAGCTAGTATAGTTTATATCTTCTTGTTGACATCTTTACTATGAAAATATTAGAAAAAAGCAAAGAGTGCATCTCAGAATCTTTTGTGACCACAAATATAAGTTAAGCTAAGGGAAATTTTATAGGATAGAAATAATACTTACAATGCTTTACACAATTGTATGTAGAATACCTAAGTACCAATATGCGTAGAAATAAGCATAGCTAAGACAATGATGCTACAATGGATGAACCCCTCAGCCAACCCCACCCCCCACACACACACACACTTGCAGAAGATAAAAAGTGCAAATGAGCTCCCTGAGAGAAGGCAAGTCCGGTGACAATCAAAAGAAAAAAATGAGGGGAGACACATTTAAAGTGATATGAAAAAGTAAAGTGAAGCCCTACAAATGCTTGGAAGAAAATTCAAATTCATTGGGTACCCATGACAAATACCAGAATGGAAGATCGAGGACATGAGTGGAAACTATCAAGAGGATTAGAATTTATTGATCCTACATGCAGATATGGGTCCTAAATGGCATAACAAAATCAATGTATCTGATCATATATAGGGCAAAGCTTAGATTTTTTGTATTTATCACCCATATTCTTTAAGGCAGTAATATAGTTGTACGAACTCTATACTTCTGTGACTTTTCAGGGAAAAGAAAGCTCTATACTTCTGCAAAATCCTCACTAAGATGTCAAGAAAAATATTACAAGCAAATTCTCAAGATAATTTTCCTCAAAAGCTCAATTCAAGTATGTTAATCACCCAAGTTGATGTAAATATCTAGCATACTGAAACAAAAGTAACAAACTAATATTGGGAGAACATTCCTGCCGTCCAACTAATATCACATGAATCTATATGACAGAACTCAAGATTGAATGATCTGTAAAACTGAATATCACTTGAGATCAGATGCCTGTCCTCTGAATACGCTGAAGGTTTGGAAGTAACCCTGACGTTTAAGAATGATTTATTTGCTGCTATTTGTTGATAAAGTATAAAGCCTTATCACTACTCTATTATCAGCACGTTCAATACAGAAACTTACCAATGCTGACAATCAATAACATGAGAAAGAGTAAGAATAGAATCTCAACCAAGGGAGAAACATTCAAACTAAGAACCATCTTATAAATTTTACCTGTCAAATCGTACAATAAGTCCAACGATTACATTAGCAAATCTAATGAATAAGCCAGCTGAAACTAAAATCGGAATGGCCAAGCCGATCAATAGAGTTGCAAGTTTGAGAGGCCTTGGTAACCGAACTGGGGTTAACGTTGCTTCCAACAAGCCATCTGAGGATTTTAGTAAAGAAAATTAGTCTAAAGAAAAGATCACATCAAGATAATGAATTCCAAATATTATACCAGACAAAAAAGGAGAGAAAAGAGTATAAGTAATTTGAAATGTGTTATCTACATTATTTATGACAGCACGCATCCACAGGTGCCCAACTCAGAACAATGTATCATTATTTTTCTTAACATCAACAACCTCATATTTATCAAAGTCACAGAAAGTGATGAAGTTATTCTTGTGCAAAAGACAAACTAATTATTGTCAGCTTACATGCAAATGCTGGCGGAACTAGCCAAACAAGGGCAACGTATGATGATCCAATTTTATAGTAAGTTCCTATAATCAAAAGAACAAGCCACTGCACAAAACCAGCTTTAAAGAGCCATCTTTCAGTCTCTAACTTGATCAGATCAGCTTGAATAACAGGTGACAGCTGTTTTCTCTTGGCATATATATTTGATATATATCTTTGCAAAACAAGATACCCCAAATGTTGACCAGTTAGAGCCCCAAGAAAAGCAGGTGCAGCAAACAACCCAACCATCAACCATGGGCTTGCAATATATGGCACTGGTGATGAAGATATAAGGGGTAGAATCAACGCGACAAGAGCAGAGAAACTTATTGAAAATATCCACATGAGGATAATACTCAAACATGAAAAGAAAAATGAAACCACAGCTGTGTAACCACCCATAAGCAAAGATGTAGTCCATATCAGAAGAGATTGCACTATCACCGAAAATTGAAGCATGTTTGCAAAACGCTGGTGGTAGACAACCATATATTGCCCCTGAGATGAACAATGTTTTAGCAACAGCATCCTGCAAATGTTTTCATGATAGCAGAATGCCCCACAAAACATTATAGCATGGCTAAAGAGGAAATAATAATGTGGAGCACAAGAGGAATGAGGAAAAGTGCATTTCCAAAACAAGAACCATGTGTCAAAGATAATGAAGGTACCAAAATATCAAAAAATACGGCAGTGTTGTGGTTAGATTTTCTGCCACCATCCATAGTTTTGACTTTTAGAAGATGAGAGGATGATGCAATCTGAAGCAGGAAAGAAAGCATATTTTCTCCAAGATGCTGAAGTGATCCTGATTTCAATAGCTCCAACTTGTCATTCTGCAGAAAATAGTCAATTTTAACTATTCCGAAATAAATTAAGAAAGAAAAGAATTAGAGTTGTCCTTCTATTTTTTTTACCTGTTCTGTTTTGTCTTCTTAATTAGCACTGAAAGAAAAGGACTAAAAATAATTCACTGTTCCTCTTTTACTTTAATTAATTAAATTATTTATACTAGGACTTCATAATTGTCTCATAGACTATGAATTGCTTTGAACACTGAGAATGCAGCGAAGTAATATTGAGATTCAATGAAACTCCAAAAGTGAACATATAATAAAAACACTCTGTTAATTGAACCAGTCGATACTTCTGAGAAACTAAAATGCTTTGTGCATCAGGTGTAACATTAACACTCTTATCTTTTTCTTTTCTTGATAAATATAAGGATGTTAATTAGAATGGCTTGTGATTTTCAAAAAAGATTGGCTTGTGAAAGTGGAATTTGTAATACTAAATATTAAAAAGGAATTCTAGTTAGAGGATCACTAGCCAATTAAATGTGCATCACATCATGTCAACCATTAACCCAAAAGCAGCTTAACATATTATTTTGCTTGCTCAATGGCGTAAATTACTGAAACTATGAATCTTATTGAGTGAAATTATTTGAATGTTAAAATATTTCAGTAGTATTCTTTTCAAACAAATAGCTAGGCATATTAATTTATGTCCCAGTTTGTCTCAATTAGTTTTCAAACATGATTATATGTCTGAATCATTAAAAGGTGCCTTATCCAACTACAATGTCATAATTCTTACATTGTTGGCAAGATTCAAAGGATAATCATGATTATTGGATTTGGTAAACTTTAATTGGGGAGGGATCCATTAAGGAGAGCACCATCTCTCCTTGACCTTTCTTGGAAGCTTGAGCTTCAGTACATGCTAGTTTTGCAATATAGCACCTTTCATTGGTTATTCCTTTCTCTTGTAATTACCACGAGGATATCATTTTTCTATTAGTTCAACCAAGCATATCATCTCTTTTGACCAGCTGATCATAATGGCTTCCCATTGATAAAAACCCATCCTTAAATGCTTTAAATCTCCTTATGCAACTTATTCAAAACTCAACTTCCATTTGCTCTTCTCCCTCCACAAATTAATAACTCGCTTTTCCTATTTTCCACTATTTGACAGCTCCACCATAATAATGCACTCTACTTCTTTCCACAAGACATTGTACATTTAAAATTCAGATACTAATATTGTGTGCTTCTTCTTGATACTACATATTACCAACTCTTACGTTATAAACTTATTCATTCCATCCTGTGGCCACAACAATTTAGCTCCTGCTCTCTAAGTTCACAACAAATGAACTTAATGGCTCTCTTGCAACTTGCAGTAGAAACCCCCCAAAATAAAAAAAAATGAGAAATGACAAGTATGCATCAATAAACCAGGCTTTTTCAAGCTATTAACTATTGCCCCACCTGCAGGTACATCAAAGCAAGCCTCCCCATGTTCTACACAATCTCTGACAACAACTGAATACATTAGGATTCTATCCTTGTATATCAGTCAGGCTATATACAAATACATACAGACAAACAGACATACATATATGTATGTATGTATGTACGTATGTGTATGGATCACAAATAGCATATAAATAAAGGAGCTAATCTTTTCTAGACCAAAGAAAAGGACCTAGTGAATCCCATTTCTTCGACCAGAGTAATAAAAGATTCCAAATGAGTTATAATTTGATTTCAAAATGAACCTTTCCAAGTGAATGGTGAGAAAAAGGCAAAGAAACAGATAGAAGACCTTAGTGTGATATACTGCACCATTGTCTGTGTAAACAAAGTCAAGCCCTGAAAGACCAGCAACCTCTTTGTACACTTGGAAATCTGTTGCAGATTTTATGGCTCCAGAAGAAAAAAGATCCTACAGCATTATACCATTCAGAGTTTAAGGTTTTCTTCTAACTTTAACAAAAAATCTATCAAAGCATATAAAAAGATGCACATGCATCTGAATGCATGTGTACACACACCCAAAAGAGAAGCTGAAGAAAATCACACCTGAGCTATGATTACACCAGATGGGTATTTCGCCACTGCAGCAAAGTTCTCAACAGCCAATGGATGAGGACCAGCCTATCAAGTAAAGGACAGAATATAAGTTGAAGGGATATATGGCAAAAACAAAGCAAACTAGGTAAGCCTAAGAAAGTACCTACTAATCTTGATTTGATTATTTTGAGGTTCAGAATACATATGACAGGACAATGAAAATTTCACATGGTGAATCGCAAGAACATCACTGAAATCAAATTAGTCCACGACCAGGATCTAACAACATCTCATACAAGCAGATGATTGATTCGGTCATATGCTTGATTTCACAAGGTCAAAACAGTGGCATATGAGCACTTCAAACAATAAAAAGTATCCTCTTCAAGAAAGGAATAAATAAGCATGGATGGCATAGCTGCCCAACAATCACTGTTTGCACCCATCCATGCATGAGAGGAAGAAGTTCCTGGTTAGTTCCTTCAGGATTACCACTGGTGTTAGACTGGAGAAAATTAGTTGGACCAATGCACCAAAGATATTAATCTCTGTTAACAGCTAACACAGTAAACAGGAGAAGGCTGTACAACTCAAATTGGGTAAATCTGACAAGCAGATATACACCCAAATACAGTACAATTGCTTAACTTTGTGATGAAAAATTTTGAACAATTACCATTGTCTCGTTGAGTGTATTTCACGAAGTTCATGTGGGGGAAATCAAAGTATTCCCAGAAATATACCTGGAAAATGCTGGACTTCCCTCCAATACCCATGGCCTCCAAATCAATAGCCATACGAATGGATGAACTCCAAGGATGCTGCAATAGCAAACTAAATGTTAATCCTTAACTCAAAAGATTTGGTTATTTTGTTAGTTTCTGTACTTGACACGTATTCAGCTGGGACCAATGCTGCAAAAGATTAATCACTTGTTCATGTGTCTAAAACCTACAAAACCACAAATTAGAAGAATACAAGTATGAAAAAGTATCCAAGCACTTTGCGAGAAACATGATCTAAAACGAAACATAATTCACCATCTCATGTAAAAATGAAATTTTATCTATGTACAAATAATTGTTTATTCATTATATTGAATTCCTAACCCCTGTTTTTCTAAACTCTCAGTGTCTCACTTCCTAGACTTAACCATTCTTATTAACAGACAAGGCATCCTTATTTATTAACATATCTCAAAATCTTAACAAGCACATTTTAACCTCATCCTCAAATTACCCCCTGCCCCCTCAATATCTCTGTCCTTTCTCTTAATTGCTATGTGATGAGATCAAATCATATCAATTGCCTACTCAAGCTTCATCATCTAACAAACAGAAACCAATACTTAACAAAATTTGAACAAGGATTGATGCTAGTGTTGCCAGCTAAAACAATATGGACATTTTATATCCTACGTAGACTTGCTGATGTAAGCACATCTAGAATTCTATTTTATTTAATATTTTAGTTAGGTTAAGATTTTATTTTCTTTATTTTATTTAGTTTAAGATTCTTTTTCTATCTTTGTTAGGATTTTAGTGCTTTAAGTCTTTATTGAGGAATAGGAATATTATTAAATTAGGATTTATCTTAACTAGTATAAATAGGTGAATAAGGGATTATTATCATTATTATTATTATTATTATCTTTGTTGTTCTGAATTTTATTTAAGAGGTTTCTTTAAAACTCTATTATTTTTCTATTCTTCCAAACACAATCAACCCTATTCAAGCTTAATAGTTGAGTTCCAATTGCCTTAAACCTTCCCACTACATCAAAGTGGTATCAGAGCAAACGATCCACTAGTTTACAAAGATTTTTTAACCAGAAGACTATGGTCGGCCAAGTAGAGATCGAGTTAGAGGCAACCAACCCCAACAAACTGAGTTGGCTAAGATGTAGAGAATGATTGATGATTTGACCCAAGCTGTGCAAGCCTTGCAGTGTTAAGAACCAATGAGAGCTGGAATGGAGAATCCAAAAGGTGACCACGACCCCTTGAAAGTCAAGATCATGAGGATGATGATGAATTTGAGAACAAGAACCCCTTTCATGAAGATGGACCCTCAAATCAAGCGGCAAGAGCTGGATTGGAGGGTTGATTACTACACGCTGTAGATTTAAATGGAGGAACCAAGCTTAAAGTAGCTAATTTTCATGGAAAGTTTCATGAGGAGGATTATTTGGATTAGGAAGCTAGTTTGGAAAATTACTTTGAATGTTATTTGTAAAGTTGAAATTGAAGGGTACCGCATTTAAATGGTGGAAGAGAGTTGAAGAGCAACGTGCACGATAAGGGATGCTTAAAGTCAGCACTTGGAAGCAAATTAAAAGTAAGTTACAAAAGCTGTTTTTACCTGCTGATTATATTAAGGAATTATATGAAAAGTTTCATTGTTTGAAGAAAAATAACATGACTGTTGAGGAGTATACATCGAAGTCCAATAACTTATCAATTCAAGTTGGGTTAACTAAAAGTAATGAACATTGTTAATTCTCGTTATGTTGTTGGTTTGAATCATTCTATTAGAGACAAGATGGGAGTAATTTGTTCGTACGACCTTAATGATGCTTGTCAATATGCTTTAGCAGCGGAAAAATCAAGTTTTACTCTATAGTGCTAGAAAGCCCTTATATGGCACCAATTGGCAAAGCAATTTTGAAGCACGATGAGGCTATCAAACATCCCAACAAAATTAGTGGGGAGCTGCCACAACCAATAAAACTAATAGAGGCGCAACCAATGTTGAAAAGAACGATAAAGGCAAGAGTATGATGCCTTATGGTGGACAAACAATTTTGGTTCTTCTACAAATAAAGGAGGCAGCAATTCTCAGATTTGATGTTTTACTTGTAGGGAAAAGGGACACATTTCTTTTGCTTCCCCATAACAAAGGGTGAACTTAACAGAATTAGAGGAAAAGTTAGAACCAGTTTATGATGAATATGATGAGAAGATAGAGAAAATCAATATTTATCCTACAAAAGGTGAGTCCTTGGTGGTATGAAGAGTGATGACAACAAAATACGGAAGCAAAAGATTGGAGGAGGCTAAGTATTTTTTGCACACGTGTTGTTTGTTAAGGTAAAGTGTGTGATCTTGTCATTGGTGGAGGAAGCATGGAAAATATTATTTCAAAAGAGGCACTAGACAAATTGAAGTTTCCTATAAGCAAACATCCTTATTCATACAAGATTGGGTGGCTAAAGAAAAGACCAAAGGTATCGATAACTACTCAATGTTTGGTGAAATTCACTATGGGAGGTAACTTGGATGCTGAGGCTTTATGTGATGTTGTGCCAACGGATGTTGATCATATTCTTGTTGGTGGACCTTGATTGTATGATCATGATATGGATCATAAGA